GAAATGAAACCAAAGGCCGTCTACACAACAAGATGAATGTAGAGCTGCTGTTCTCGCTACACACATCTTGATAAAAGAAAACTGATATGGAGTGGTATTGCAGAGCAAATGGGCGCCATCTAATGTCAGGGAATGAATTTGCATGTTCACTCGGCTCATCGTCAGCGAAAATCGCTTGGGTGTGAACACAAAAAACGCGTTGAAAAAACGCTTACGAATAACGCGCGCTAATATTTGTCCTGGTGTGTACGTACTGTACGGGCCTTAAAGCTGATGCTAATTTGCGCTGCTCTTGGTAGATTGTGTTGGTTATGATGGAAATGATCCGGCTGTGTCTGTGTTTTTCATATGTGTGAAAAACTTTTTTTACCCATCATGCACTTTTTTTATTTATTTCACTCTCACGCTAATCTTGCCTGGTCCCACCAGACTCGTGCATTTCATTTGTACAGAGAGTCTGGCCTCGCTCCATTGACAAGCGTTAATTCCTTGAAGGTGGGTACTCTGTTGAAGTTCTGCCGTAACCAATCGCTAACGTTTGGTCGTGACGTATGACGACTCAAACTGGCGCATGACATCAGCGGCAAAATTCTCAGACACTCCCTCTGTTCGTTCATTGACCGGACAAAACCAAAGAATACACTACAAACCCAGACGTAGTACTGAAGGAAAATGAAGATCGGAGGGCGGAGCCAGGCTAGGGCTAGGGTGTGTGTCTTTGAACCTGGCTTGAAACTCATTCTTGACGTCCTCAAAAATGCCATCCCATCATTGAAATCCCATCATGCACCTTAAAGGATTAGTTCACTTTTGAAAAAACTTTTGCTGATAATTTACTTTACCCGCCCCCATGTCATCCCAGATGTCCATGTCTTTCTTTCTTCAGTCGAAAAGAAATTTAGGTTTTTGATGGAAACATTCCAGGATTTTTCTCCATATAATGGACTTCAATGGGAACCGGACGGTTCAAGGTCCAAAAGACAGTTAATAACAGTTTCAGATGCAGCTTCAAATGTCTTTAAACGACACCAGACGATGAATAAGGGTCTTGTCATGCGAAACGATCACGAGGTCGATCACGTTCAAAAGGTCACGGGCGACGTAGCCGGAAGTACAAAGTCAGTGTTTACAAGTTGTTTGCGTTACAAACGCGCCTCACAGAATAGAGCAAGGCTAGCATTTGTCCTTAGAAAAGTTACATTTTTGGAATAAGTTTTGAAATAAGCGATCGTTTCGCATGATAAGACCCTTATTCATCGTCTGGTGTCGTTTAAAGTAGGGCTGCAATAACTTTTATGAAATTATGAAAATCGTTGTCAATGAATGTCATTATCGATTAGTTGGTCTGATTACGTCACAGGGATTGTTTACATGGAACATGCGCTTCTTACATGCGTCTTCATGAGGCACACACGCAGTCTCTCTCCCTCGCTGCTCTACCCTGCCTCGCGCGCGCAACACGGACGGTTTGGAGCACATAGACCTTATTCAGAGCAGCGCCATGACAGGTATGAAAGTGAGGCTGTGAGGGATAGACTTACCGTGTTTCCAATGGCATCTGCTGTAAAAAGCTGAATAAAACGGCTAGATTACTTACAATTTTCCACAGCTTACATTGTCGGGAGTTTTTTGTCAACTGACATTTCTTGGAAAGATATTTTTCCAGTGTTTCATGAGCAGAACAATCCGAAAACACATTAAATAACATACAGCCCATTGAAGAGATGCAAGTCTATCCCTCACAGCCTCGCTTTCATTCTCATTAAAAATCAAAGATGGCGCTGCCGTGAATAAGGCGTATTATCTTCTGTCTCGCATGCGCGCTCTTGATTCCGTGAGTTTGAACTAATTTGCGGACATGCAGCATACACGAAAATCATTCACCTTTCGGCAAATTCGCCGTTTTGAAACCAAAATAGGTGACCTACGTTAATCGTGTATACTTTATGAAGCCATACTATAGTGTAATGTGAGATAGAAATGTATATTTAAGTCATTAAATTCAAGTTAACCTAAGCTTTTCCCTCCACTGCGGCTCAGTCATTCTCTATTCGCGTCGCGTTACAACAGTTAACATGATGAAACTCTTTCCAAGATGATTCAATGTTATTATTATAATTGATCCGTAGATAAAGGTCTGGTTTCTATCTTGCTAGTCTTTTATTGCTGTAACTTAATCACTTTCTACTGTCTGTTAGCTCACAACACTAGAGTAGAGTCGGCGCACTATAATTGTTCTTCACGTGCACAGTAGCCTAACTGAAATTTAAAACTGTTAAAAGAAAAGGCTTATTAAACTATTGCATAAATACTGTATAATACACAATCTTGGTGCTTTTAACTTTAATGCGGCGGACACTGAAGAGCTGCGCGCCGCCCTGTGACTCCGTGTTGCTTCAAGCGCATCATTCAGCGCTCGCGATGCGCATAAGCACTTTGTGCAGCTCTTTCATGATCATGTCATAATACTTTTGCGCAATGAAAGCTTATTAATAGCCTTTCTTGTTCTGTCCTATCTATTATATTTTGCTTCCTCACTAAACAGCTGTGCTTTACATTTAAAACAGCTGTGCATCTGATTTTTACGATGTTTTTCATGAATGTACAGTACAACAACAATACAAAGAGCAATGTGTAACGTTTTACCAGAGTTAGTGCTACACTTATTGTCTCTTATTTGTTCCCCACTAAGGAATGTTTTTTTCATTAAATGTTCAGATTTTATAAAATTATTGTGCACTTGTGATATTTCTAGGCTAAGTTTTGCTGAGTTATCCACTAATCTATTTTACAATAGCATTTTTGTCATAGCTTATGTTCATATATATTTTTTTTATTTGTTGTTTTTCTTTAAAATGAAGTTGTCTGTATTAAGTAAATTGTTTAACAATTTAAAAGAGTGGTTTTTAGGGTTTTATTTAGTTATAATAAACAAAAAAAGAAATATAATTTTTTATCCGATTAATCGATTAATCGAAAAAATAATCGTCCGATTAATCGATTATCAAAATAATCGTTAGTTGCAGCCCTAGTTTAAAGACATTTGAAGCTGCACTGAAACTGTTATTAACTGTCTTTTGGACCTTGAACCGTTTGGTTCCCATGTAAGTCCATTATATGGAGAAAAATCCTGGAATGTTTTCATCAAAAACCTTAATTTCTTTTCGACTGAAGAAAGAAAGAAATGGACATCTTGGATGACATGGGGGTGAGTAAATTATCAGCAAAAGTTTTTTCAAAAGTGAACTAATTCTTTAAGGATGAACGCAAGCATGGATCTGTGGAGCGCCACTGACTGAGCCGATCCCTCAACACCAGAACATCATTCATTCCCCATAGAGCCCGTGAAGCTCATGGAGATGCTGGTGCTGTGTGGGTCTGCCGAGTGCGAGTGTGTCTGGGTCAGGTTTAGTGTAGTGTGTGTCGATAGCGCTGCGGTGGAGTCGGATGCTGATTGGTGCCCTGGGGCAGCGGGGCAGCTCGATGCAGTGAAGGGCGCCGTGTCCCTGCCTGGCCGGGTATAAAGATGATGAGCTGGCCACCGGGTCTCCAGTGGGAGAGGGAATGAGGAGCTGGCTCCGACAAGGCAAGACGTTTAGATTGTTTCATCCTCCCAGAGGCGTTTCAGGTGAGCTTCCGTGTGCATGTTGGGTGAATGTGGAGTATGGGCATCACATTTGTTTTATTTTATTTTATATTTTATATATTTTATATTCTGATTAGTTTTGTTTTCCACAAGGCCAAACTGAAAACAGATTTAACGCTTAAGAGGAGGTCAGTTCCCTCCCCAGCCTGATCTCCAGCACATCTCAATGATATGACACTGAATGTCTGAGTAGGCTGAGCCGAAATGTTAGATTTGAGACAGAAAAGTTAGATCGCAGGAAGCCAGCGTTTTGTCCCTTTACTGTGCGGTCTGTTTGTGCTTCAGTATTGAGCAGTGATTTGAAATAGGCCAGTGGAGCCTGTGGTGATGGAGATATCGATGTCTGCCGCTCACGTGTGGTGTAAAGCAGGTCACCGGCACCTAATCTGTGAAGCTCTTCATTAGTGCTGTTAGTCAAGCGGCACTATTGCTGTGCTAGCACTATTGTGTAATTATTAGTATGGTTAGACATTAGGTTTGTAATCTCTAGAAGATCTGATGATCAGCATAATATCATTTAACCAACACTCATTTTCATCACTAAAATTCACAGGGCCCTTTTTTTCTTTCCCTGTGTAAAAATGCAAAAATCTAGTTTCTTTCTCCGGTCGAGGTGACACTGATTCATGCTAGCATGTAGCATGAGGTTAGCGTGTTTCCTCAGTGTTAGCATTAGACATTTGACAAGCCGTTTCATTACTTCCCAGACAGCAAACTGACATTGAATCAACGTGGAAACGACGTCTCTCATGACATTGAAACAACGTTGATTTTGCTCATCGAATTAACGTTGAACCAACGTCAGACGCGGCATTCTTCAAAGCTAAATGAAATCGAAAATTGGTTTGCTTTCATAACGTTGAAACAACGCGTTGATTTCAGGTTGATTTTCCGTTAGTTTTGAAAGAATGACGCGTCTGACGTTGGTTCAATGTTAATTCGATGAGCAAAACAATGTCAGATCAACGTTGTTTCGATGTCATATTTCCACGTTGATTCAATGTCACTTTGCTATCTAGGTTGTTACTGGCATAAAACATTTGGGTAGATGTGTGTTAGATGTCGCAAATTCGGTTCAAACAACAATTGGTTTTTGACTTGTTTATTAGCAGATAGTAGCATCGTTACGACACACTGATTATATCTCTATCGTCCAAGCGACATCTAACCCCGATGATCCCGAGAGTCGCTGCGGCGTCCAGCTGTGGTGTTGTGCATCAAGACCTGTTGCAATATTGTAATCATTTCATGTTTTTCTTTTTCACTCATCCCTTTGCCACCAAACATTCCTCCCGTGTAACATCCCTCCTCTCACACCGCTCTCGCCTGTCCCCGCTGTATCTTGTGGTTGGAGATGGCAGAGTGCACAGTAGCCCCAGTAGCGATGGAGGACAGTGACCGCGAGACCGACTCGGCATCAGATGAGCGAGACTCTATGCCGGCGTCACCTGAGCCCAGGATGCATGAAGTGGAAAAGGTACTGGTGATCCTCCCACTTCGTTGAGTCCATTGACCTCAATTGAGACGTGCATTGTTCTTCTGCAAGCCAGCATTGTAACTTTAATTTTCTGTTAAAGTCTACTTGAAATTGGCCATACTTTCCTAGCTTCTTACTTTCTAATCGCGAGCGATTTATCAACGTACACCGCCGTTCAGAAGTTTGAGATCGGTAAGATTTGTAATGGTTTTTTTAAAGAAGTCTCTTCTGCTCACCAAGGCTGCATTTATTTTATTAAAAATACAACAACACAAAAACAGTAATATTGTGTAATATTATGAGTTATTCCTGTGATCAAAACTGAATGTTCATCATCATTACTCCAGTCTTCAGTGTCACATGATCCTTCAGAAATCAATCTAATATGGAAACACTTATTATTGTTATCAGTTATGTCGAAGTTTTCTTCAGGATTTCCTCACATCCTTAATGTCTTGACTTCATGCACTTTCTGTTGCTCGGAGCTAATGACTTTAAATTAGAAAGTTGATCGGCCAACCTCAAAGAGCATGCACAGAGAAGTCCAAATTAAACATGATTGAATGACTCGTAAATGTAAGTACACATTGATGGCCTAAGACACGAAATGAGCGGTTTGTGTGAGAAAACGAACAGTATTTATATAGTTTTTACCTCTTGTAACCACAGCCATGTCCAAGTGATCTGAACGCGCGGGCGCTTTGTGGCGGTAAAAACGATATAAATACTTTTCGCACACAAACCTGTAGGACAGAAATTGTTAAACGATCAGTCAAATAGCTATTTAGGTCAATCGCAAATGCCGTTCTGTAGTGCCAGTTACAGTTCATGTAACAAAGGTTACACCGTAATAGCAAATAGCGATATATTTATGCCAAGGTAAGCAGTGGGATGCATGGAGATGCTCTGAATCTGCCGGTCAATAGGTCTATGTTGCAGTCAGAAAAAAAATGTTTCTTCACAGAAGTCAAATGGTTTGCCAAAGCCATGTCATGTGATGATGTGACCTTGACCTGTTCAATGGCAAAAATCAGTTTGCCAGAACAGAAAACATGGAGGTTAATTAATAAGCAGAACTTCTTCAAAGGGGAGATGTCACTATGATTATGATTTCTCTTTTCTAACTTTTAGTTAGATACATAAACAACATCCGCAAAGGGAGATATTTTCTTTTAAGGACTACAACAAACGGCTAGTAGGGACTACATTGAGCTTCTTCACAGGTTGTGAAGGCTGACATTACACAAACCTCGCCCCTGGGAAAGCATTTATAGATTATCATGACAGAATATGTTAATCAATGACTATAACATCAGCTACATACATACATCAACTAACCTTTCAGAAATGTTGTCACTTCTTCTTGAGTCTGACTCCGGTTTGAACATAAAAGGCTCAGATCTCATGAAGTAGCGTGTGTATGACACGCCAATTCGTATTTCCATTTTTGGCGTGCTATCAAGACGCATAATCACTTTTCAGCGTGTTTATGAACGCCGTTGACTTAACGTTATATAAATATATGACTTACCTCAACCCCGTCCCTAAACCTAACCGTCACTGGGGTTAATGGCATTTATGACTCAAGATTTGACTGCGTGTGCAGACATGCGGAATGACGCGGACGTTAATGGCGTAGACATATACGCATACACGCAGATACACGCGGATAGCACAAAATGTGTAGAGATAACACGCCACCTGACTCGAAAGTGGCGTATATGTTTACGCAAAAGTCATGATGTCATGTTGAAAGGCTACAAGTTTTTGAAATTTCCAGTGCGTGTCTGTGTGAGGTAATCGGAGCTGCTAAACACACAAGCTATTGAAGCTCCACCCTCTGCGCCGGGAGTAGCAGCTCATTTGCATTTAAAGGGACACTTTTGCTCATGTTTTTTGCATGTTATAACATGTTATAAAAAATATCTGAGGTATTTTGAGCAAAAACATCACATGCACTCTCTGGGGACAACAGAGACTTATTTTACATCTAGTGAAAGGGGCATTATAGGACCCCTTTAACATTCGTATGTCTGGAGTGAGTCTGTGGTCCTCGATCGGGCTGTGTGGACCGAAGCAGGGATCGATACTCTTTACTTTCAGGACAGCAGTGATTCTGTTTGTTATCAGCTCTTGTGCAGGGAGTATCAATGTCATCTGTGTTGTGTCTTGATGTCTAACGTCTTGTGTGGACACTAACATCAGTGTAGACGTGTGCGCTCCAGTTTCCTCAGGAACACTCCTTATACCACTAATGTATTCTCTTGTATACCTCGTAAAAACGTTTACCATGGTAACCTTAATTTCTGTCAAAGTGGGTTCATTTACTGGGTTACTACTCTAGTGAATGGGTTTTTACCATGGTAATGTTTTGTAAGGGTGTTTTTTGTCTAACCACTAAATGGTCTATTCTCTTTTTGCTTCTCTTCTCCATGACCTTAACTTTCCCTATTAAACCGCTTCTGTACCTGCCCGTATGTTCTGGCCCGACCCCTAACTTGCCCGATCCCCTCCTGACCTCAGCACTTCCCTAAGGAAGACTCGGAGGACTCGGAGCTGGAGCACATCATGGGACATCACCCGTTCGCCCACCATAGTGAGGGTGAGGCTCACACCCCGGGGACGCCCACCTTCCCGAGGCCCGCGGCGGCACCCAGGGGCCCCGGAGAGCTGGAGCACGAGTCCAGACACGGGGCTCAGCGGGGCCACGTCGACTTTAACCTGCTGTCTCCCATCAGCCCATCCAGGCCTAAAAGCCCCTGGGGTCGCTATGACCCCTATGACGCTACTGAGGTAATGAACGCCGGGGTCATGAGCGTCCGTGCATAAACACCTTGAAATGTCACTCCCAACAACCATAAGATGCACATGTTGGAATGTACCATGGTATTCGTGGAGTTTCTATGAACGGTGATCCTTCATGATATTACCACTGGGTTGATTGTGAGGGATCTCAGGAGCCCGGTTACCTCTCATAGTTTTTCTTCTGAATTGGACACATGTTTTCGTTCTTGAGATTGTCTTTCATCTGTCATTTGCTTTTCGGGGGGATGGATTTACATTGGCATGTTTTTAAGTGGATCCTGTTGGTGGGCTAGAGCATGTTTGTAAAAGATGATAATTAAAGGGGTAAAGCCTTTTTTGGGTTTATGACGCTCCATCCCACATCTTTCCTCATTCACTTCAAGCCAAAGCCTGGCACGTGTGGTTTGCCTCCCAGAGAGAGACTCTCACAACGTCTGTCATCTCCCGCTGGCCCTTATGATAAGAAGAGTTATCGCCTACAAACTGAAGGCTGACGTTTCACTATGCTGAATTCAGATTGGGGAAATATGCTTCGTTTTTGATTATTGGGCTCTCTCTCCATCAACTTTAGGATTTTTATTATTTAATATTTCTTTTTCTATTATATCCATTATATATGTGTCCATTATCAGTGGATTTATATATATACACTCACCGGCCACTTTATTAGGTACCCCATGTTAGTAACGGGTTGGACCCCCTTTTGCCTTCAGAACTGCCTCAATTCTTCGTGGCATAGATTCAACAAGGTGCTGGAAGCATTCCTCAGGGAGTTTGGTCCATATTGACATGATGGCATCACACAGTTGCCGCAGATTTGTCGGCTACACATCCATGATGCAAATCACCCGTTCCACCACATCCCAAAGATGCTCTATTGGATTGAGATCTGGTGACTGTGGAGGCCATTTGAGTACAGCGAACTCATTGTCATGTTCAAGAAACCAGTCTGAGATGATTCCAGCTTTATGACATGGCGCATTATCCTGCTGAAAGTAGCCATCAGAAGTTGGGTACATTGTGGTCATAAAGGGATGGACATGGTCAGCAACAATACTCAGGTAGGCTGTGGCGTTGCAACGATGCTCAATTGGTACCAAGGGGCCCAAAGAGTGCCAAGAAAATATTCCCCACACCATGACACCACCACCACCAGCCTGAACCGTTGATACAAGGCAGGATGGATCCATGCTTTCATGTTGTAGACGCCAAATTCTGACCCTACCATCCGAATGTCGCAGCAGAAATCGAGACTCATCAGACCAGGCAACGTTTTTCCAACTTCTATTGTCCAATTTCGATGAGCTTATGCAAATTGTAGCCTCAGTTTCCTGTTCTTAGCTGAAAGGAGTGGCACCCGGTGTGGTCTTCTGCTGCTGTAGCCCATCTGCCTCAAAGTTCGACGTACTGTGCGTTCAGAGATGTTCTTCTGCCCACCTTGGTTGTAACGGGTGGTTATTTGAGTCACTGTTGCCCTTCTATCAGCTCTAACCAGTCTGGCCATTCTCCTCTGACCTCTGGCATCAACAAGGCATTTCCGCCCACAGAACTGCCGCTCACTGGATGTTTTTTCTTTTTCGGACCATTCTCTGTAAACCCTAGAGATGGTTGTGCGTGAAAATCCCAGTAGATTAGCAGTTTCTGAAATACTCAGACCAGCCCTTCTGGCACCAACAATCATGCCACGTTCAAAGTCACTCAAATCACCTTTCTTCCCCATACTGATGCTCGGTTTGAACTGCAGGAGATTGTCTTGACCATGTCTACATGCCTAAATGCACTGAGTTGCCGCCATGTGATTGGCTGCTTAGAAATTAAGTGTTAACGAGCAGTTGGACAGGTGTACCTAATAAAGTGGCCGGTGAGTGTATATATATATATATACTGTATATGTATGTATATATATATATATATATATATATATATATATATATATATATATATTAGGGCTGTCAAACGATTAATCGCGATTAATCACATCCAAAATAAAAGTTTGTGTTTACATAATATAAATACACACACATGCTTGTATATGTTTAAGAAATATTTTCATATATACATACTGTATATTGATTTATATAAATTATTTTATATCTATAAATATACATGTATTTATAGATATAAAATAATTATACACAGTGCACCCACATATATATATATATATATATGTGTGTGTGTGTGTGTGTGTGTGTTATAAATCCACTGATAATGGACACATATAATGGATATAATATATATATATATATATATGTGTGTGTATATATATTAGAGCCCGACCGATAAAGGATTTTGAAGGCCGATACCGATACAAATATATTTGGGTTTTAAAATCCGATATTCCGATATATCGGTCGATATTTTATTTTTTTATTTTTTTTAAACTGGACATGATAGTCACAAATTTTGTCATGCTTATTTGAGTTTAGAGAACTGATGGGGATGTTCTTTTAATTGTTATTCAAGCAATGTATGTATCGTGCCCAACTCAACGAGTGTTGCCAACAGGAACGGTGTAGAGTGCCCTCTGGTGGACAAACTATACAACTCCAACACTCATGGCATGGTTGAAGCGTGTTTCGTCCATTTTAATTTTATTGTTGAAATATTAATTTATCGGCAATTATAACTGCCGATACCGATAGTTTGGAAAATGCCTAATATCGGCCGATAATATCGGCCTGCCGATATATCGGTCTGGCTCTAATATATATATATTTATATTTGAATGTTTTTAAAAAATATATAAATATATTATATATCTATCTTTTGTCGTTCTCTCTCTCTCTTTCTTTATTTAGGACCAAGACAAGGAGTATGTGGGATTTGCTACTTTGCCAAATCAGGTTCACCGCAAATCTGTGAAGAAGGGCTTCGACTTCACTTTAATGGTGGCAGGTAATGTTTAAACATCATATTTGTGGAAATTAGCTTCAAAACACACTTTATGAAAAGTGTGTGTTCTCCTTTTTCTGCATTTGTATAGTAGTTCACCCAAAAATTGATCACATTGCTCTAGCTATTTCACCTACTGAAATCGAATGCGAACTGACGCTGTTGGCAACAACCATAAATCATAATAGCCATCCATATGACTCAAGCACTCTTATGGAGTCATGATAGCTTTATGTGAAATATAAGCTGTTATTGCCTGAATGTCCGACCGATGTCAAACGTGGTGATACGAGAAACGAAGACAAAATTTTCCTTTTTGGGTGAACTGTTTAATATCGATGGTGTGTTTTTGTTCGTCACAGGAGAGTCGGGTTTAGGAAAGTCCACCCTGGTCAACAGTCTGTTCCTCACAGATCTCTACAAGGACCGGAAGCTGCTGAACGCTGAAGGTGAGTCCATCTCTCGCGGTGGTTCGCGGTGAGGGTTTCTGGATGTTCTGATGGCTGTGTCGTTGCTAGAGAGGATCACTCAGACGGTGGAGATCACCAAACACACAGTGGACATCGAGGAGAAGGGCGTCAAACTCAAGCTCACTATCGTGGACACACCAGGGTTCGGAGATGCTGTCAATAACACTGAATGGTACATAAAGGGCATATATTATCATGATGTATCAATACTTGATGCTGTCAATTTCAATACATACGACTGGTCTTGAATGTGTTTTCAGCTGGAAGTCAGTGGCAGACTACATAGACCAACAGTTTGAGCAGTACTTCAGAGATGAGAGCGGACTGAACCGCAAGAACATTCAGGATAACCGAGTGCACTGCTGTCTCTACTTCATTTCACCCTTCGGTCACGGGTATGAGCATTATGATCTGATCAGACCTGACTTCTTTATGGTGGTGAAGGCTGGTATTCAAACTCGACAGGGATCATCTCTATAGTATAGCTCATGCTTTTATGCAAGACATAATCCATCTTATAATGCATATTTCACTCACTTTAATGCGACATACGCACGTTTTCTTTTAATCCAGATGCCCTTTTTTTCACCACAAGGCTTTTTTGCATTTGGAAAGCAACAAGATCAACTGCTTGATGTCTGTCTGAAATACTAGTTTCAGATTTGTGACTATTAGAGTCATACATTTTTTGTTAGTTTTTTACTGGACAAAGATAAAAAAAAAAGTCCTTGCTCCGTCTTAATGAGAGATATCCCAGTTAAAAAGTCACCAGCTCCCATGATCCATCTGTGCCCTCTGCTGGTCATGTCTGATCTGTGTCGGGAAGGCAAGCCAAGTCAACATGTGTATTGTTGCTGTTAAAATCAAACTCCTAATAATAAATGGCTGACAAACTTGTAGTGCGTGGTGATCATCGTCAGTGTGTGTTTGCATCAGTTTAAGGCCTCTGGACGTGGAGTTTATGAAGGCTCTCCATGAGAAGGTCAACATCGTTCCTGTACTAGCTAAAGCTGACACACTCACACCACTGGAGGTCAAGAAAAAGAAAATCAAGGCAAGTGCCCAAGCTGTGGAGCTGTGTGTGTTTGTGTATGTACCGTGGGCTTATTTCAGTTATTTGTGCTCAGATTCGAGAGGAGATCGAACAGTACGGGATAAAGATCTACCAGTTTCCAGACTGTGATTCAGATGAGGATGAGGACTTCAAACAGCAAGACCAAGAGCTCAAGGTTCACGCCTGTTATTCACATATAGTGTCCTGAGCCAAAGAGAGAGAGAAAATATATGTGTGTTTTGCGAGCTATTCAGTAGTTCACTCAGTCCATTCAATAAATAAATAAAAAAGGACCTACTTTATGTTAGGTGTACCATGTACTTACATTAAAAAAAATAGGTACAATAGATGTATTATGTTCATAGGTGTGCTGGTATGAGTGAGTTTAAAGGAGGGTTAAAATGTAAGTGAAAACTCAACAGTATTATATTACAGAAATGAATTACAGCTTTATTTACATGCAGGTGCTTTTAAAATATAAGCACAATGTATGCAAAAAACGTATGCACACAATATAGACAATCATTTAAATATTAGTTAAAGACATCTAATATAAATTGGTACCAAAAATGTGCTTATTTTAATATAATAGCCACATGAATAAGGTCCAGTAAACAGGCAGTAATACTTGGAAAGCATAGCTTTATTTGCTTTTGGCCAATTTTTAACCAGTCCCAAAATATAAACCACCAGCACTATACTGGAATGGCTGTTTTTGTGTCATTATTTTTAAAGGAGTAGTTCACTTTTAGAAGAACTTTTGCTGATAATTTACTCACCCCCATGTCATCCAAGATGTCCATGTCTTTCTTTCTTCAGTCGAAAAGAAATTAAGGTTTTTGATGAAAACATTCCAGGATTTTCTCCATATAATGGACTTACATGGGAACCAAACGGTTCAAGGTCCAAAAGACAGTTTCAGTGCAAACTGTTCAAAGGGCTTTAAACGACTCCAGACGATGAATAAGGGTCTTATCAAGCGAAACGAGCGCTCATTTAATAAATAAATAACAAATTTTAAGTTTTATAAGCTCAAATGCTCGCCTTGCTCTGTTCTGTCAGGGTTCCTGCACACTTTTTAAAGTAAAATTTAAGGCTTTTTAAGACCTTTTTAAGACCTGAAGAAATCAAAATTAATACCATACATTAGAGGTGTGCGATATTGACAAAAATATATCTCGATATTTTTAACGTTTTGTTGATAAACACAAAACAAAAACACAATCAGTAAAATATCAACTAATTATTATTAACAATAATAAGAGGTGACGAATCAACGTGGAAACGACGTCACTCATGACATTGAATTAACGTTGAACCAACGTCAGACGCGGCATTCTTCAAAGCTAAATGAAAATCGAAAATTGGTTTGCTTTCATAACGTTGAAACAACGCGTTGATTTCAAGTTGATTTTCCGTTAGTTTTGAAAGAATGACGCGTCTGACGTTGGTTCAACGTAATTCGATGAGCAAAACAATGTCAGATCAACGTTGTTTCGATGTCATGTTTCTACGTTGATTCAATGTCAGTTTGCTATCTGGGGCAGAAGTAGCATTAGAAGTGGCAGTAATATTTACACTCCATTTACAATTGCATAAATCAAGCTTTTAAATCAATATTTAAATGTGAAATGATTTCTAATTTTAACGTTTTACTTTTAATATGAAACTAAAACCACCAGTAGGCGGCGGTAAATCGCTGTCTTAATAAGCGAGTTGAGGGAGTCATTCATTCAACCGATTTGTTCAAACGGGAAAGAAGCAAGTGATTGAATCGTTAAAATGACTCGTTCAAAACGCGGATTTCCTTCAAGAAATCATCGCTGTCTGTTGCATTGAGAACGGTTTCATTTTGAAATTCTAGTCGGCGAAATAAAAGGAAAACAAACAATATTGATAATGTTAGGTCTAAAAACTAACTCACAATGTCAATTTATTTTTAATTTAACTATTGTAGCAGCATAAATATCACAATTGTGCACGGGAAAACGGCACTCTTACTGATGTGATATTCTAATATAATAACATATAAATAAATTAAGCAAAAACTAATTTGGGGACATACCTATAACCATAGACATACATGTTTATGTCTATAACTGCACACATCACGCAGTGAAAAAACGAGAGACAAATGCGATGTCAGCTCACACTCACAGTGCCTCGTCCATCGTTAAAAGAATAGAGTATCATAATAGACAATACACATCGCACACCTCTACGCACATAAAGAATTAACTTACGACTTAACTGACATTTGCCAACTTTCTTCTCTCCTCCTCTCCTGTCTCAACGTTATTAACGTTACTGCGAATGTGACGCGAATTGTCACGTGAACAAGCAAATCCACAAAGATAAAAATTAATACGTACGCAAATTAGATGGTTTTAATTTGGAAAACATTAAGATATGACTGAGTCGAAGTGTCATCTAAAATTTAAGACCTTTCATACCTAAAAATAAGACTTTATAAGACTTTTAATGGCCTTAAATTTTAAATATCTAATTTAAGACTTTTTAAGGACCCGCGGGAACCCTGTCTGTGATGTGCGTTCGTGACTCTCCTGTTCGAACTCTTTTGATGAACAAATCTTTTTTCGTGTCATTTGGTTCATTCAACGAACAAAATGAACAAGTTGACTCTGGAAAAGATTCGTTCATTTTGATGAACCAGTTCGAACACCCCTACAAGATTGTTTTTCTTGTCCTCCTCCTGTAGGACAGCATTCCCTTCGCTGTGATCGGCAGTAACACAGTAGTGGAAGCCAAAGGCAAGAGGGTTCGAGGACGTCTGTACCCCTGGGGAATCGTTGAAGGTATGAACAAACACACCTCACAAGACTTTCCCACTGTCAGTAAACCACACAGGGGTGACCCTATTCTGTTGTGTGTGTTTGTTGGACAGTGGAGAACCCAGCACACTGTGACTTTGTGAAGTTGAGGAACATGTTGGTACGAACACACATGCAGGATCTGAAGGATGTGACCCGGGAAACCCACTACGAGAACTACAGAGCCCATTGCATCCAGAGCATGACCCGCATGGTGGTGAAGGAACGCAACCGCAAGTACGCAGCCTCGATTCAGGCAGAAGAAGCTGTGTTTTCACTCTCTGTCAGCTTTTGTTTTGAACAACAGTGGCCCCAAAAAGTATTTGGAAACTTAAGTCACATATTATATTTACAGTAAGAAAAGAAGAAAAAGTTGTATAGCGCCTTTCCATAACTCAAGTTATAGCCTTACAAAAAAAAGTACATTTCAAGGAAAACAAAGCACACAGAGTACAAATGATCGAAAATACATTTACAATGGTTTTTGAAATAATAGGTCTTGAAAGTAGACAGAGAAGAGGCTACAGAAACCCAGATAGCGTTAAAGGAGAACTCCGGCGCAAAATGAACCTTTGGTCTAATAAAACATCGGTACCGAGTCAATTGTTATCTGAGATTTGTTTTCATGATAATCGAATGTAAAGAGTTTTATCTCTAAAAACTGTTTAGCGTATAATGCTAGTACTGGGGGCATTGACTAAGTAAAAAGAAATCGCTTGTTAATACCAATATCAAGGCTCAAAATTGCCCCACACTAACACAGTAACATAATGAGGGTCCATACATGCAAAACGAAGCATTGAGAACTTTGTAAGTGTACAGACCGTTTAATAAGAAGATACTTTATGAAGACAGTTCACTTCGTGTATACAGACAGGAGCCATCAATCCCCGAAAGCCGATCATACAGTTCAGATCACTCAGCACGACGTTCGTGGTTTGACTTGCCGTGACTGTTTTCCAAGATGGCTCCTGTCTGTATACACGAAGTGAACTGTCTTCTTATTAAACGGTCTGTTACTGCGTTAGTGTGGGGCTATTTTGAGCCTTATTAGTGGTATAAACTAGCGATTTCTTTTTACTTAGTCAATGCCCCCATTACTAGCGTTATACGCTAAACAGTTTTTAGAGATAAAACTCTTTACATTCGATTATCATGAAAACAAATCTCAGAGAACGGTTGACTAGGTACCGATGTTTTATTAGACCGAAGGTTCATTGTTCGCCGGAGTTCTCCTTTAAGTGATGTACTAACACTTGAGTCATTAGTGGATTACCATGATCTTTACTTTAGAATTAATTGTACATATCTCATTTATTAACTTGTATATTGTACAGTAGTAGTCTTCTGGGAGATAAATAAAAAACATAGTAGGTATTGATTAGCTAATAGTGAATTACCTCATTCAACTGAGTGATATTACTTGCTAATTGGTAAGTCAGAGTGTCTTGTTGTTTAATAGAAGTAGAGTGTTAATCCTGCGTTACTCGTTTGTTTCTCTGTAGTTATTCATTAATGAGGGAACAGTATTCTAAAGTTTTATCAAGAAGGGATGATGAAACACAAAATGATCTTTCACCTATAGTGGACAATCAAGATCTAGGCCCAGATCTGACTATCTAAGAGCTTTTGGTGGGCAGGTATGGGCGAAGCAGGTCAGACACTAAGGCTTTAAATTCCTTTAAATCCCTAAATGTTAGAGATATCGTAAAATAAATGTGTAATGCAAAGGTAGCCAGTGAAGATCACAGTCTGAGAGGTGATAAAAGGACGGATTTGATACGAACCCTATCAATATCAAAGCACAGGACTATTCTTTTGATTGGTGTAGTAGAGCCAATCAGCGATATTTCAGTTTTGTTAATATTCGGTTTCGGAAATTTCAGGGACATTCGGTGTTTGATATCGTAAATGTAGTAAGTGTATCAAGAAGAGATGGCATGTCCAAGCTTTTTGTCATCAGCATAACAGTGAAAATGAAGTCCAAACTTTTATGGATATGTATAGGATGCATGTCGATGATAAAAAATGGACCAAATACTGAACCCTGAGGAACACCATGTGTCAGAGAGGAGCAGAAGCAGATGTGTACCCTAGCATAGTAATAAAATATTTTCAGTTGCTGAGGTAAGAAGTGAGCTGAACCAATGATGGCCATTTCAGGCGAGAATGAAAAGTAAGGGAGGAGAATTGAGGATAGTTGAGGATAATAGGATGTTTATAAATCTAGAATCCACAGATAGGAGGATGTCATTGGTCACTGAATAACAGCTGTTTCTCTGCTGTGTGATTGACAGAGTACAGACTGGATCAAAAACACCATTTGCAGTTAGGTAAGATCGTAATGGAGAGGCCACTACTTTCTCTAAAACTGTGGCCAGGAATGGGAATTTAGAGATTGGCGTGAAATTGTTAATATTTCAATGATCTAAGCTAGATTTTTTTAAGGATGCACAGGATTCTCCGGTGTTTGGGAAATGGCTTTATTATAGAGACAACACATTACCATTGGGTCATAAAGAGTCTGACAAAGTAGAAAAGTATGGAAACAGAGTAAGACGGCTCTTACGATTGAGTACTTACAAAAAAAGCGCGTACATTATAGAAACAGAGATGGACGATGGGTTCACAGATTGGATTTTACTGTACTTTTGTCTTACGTGATATAGAAAATTGGAAAACTCAAGCTAAAGTTTGTGATCAGAGAAAGCAAAGACAGTGGGAGTGAGTTGCAAAATGTTCAATTAACTTTGCATTAACAGTATTTTTATGAATTAAAATCCCCAAGTACCAGTGTTGTAGTACTCGAGACTCGGACTCGTCTCGGACTCGGTCTCGAGACCATATTTTAATGGTCTTGGTCTTGTCATGGACTCGTGTCCATTTGGACTCGGAATTGACTCGTACTCGAACATTTTTTTTTTTTTTAGGACTCGGAATTATTCCAGAGTCCACTCGTGTTCAATTCAAAATATTTTTCATGATTATTAATGTATGTGAATAAAGTATTTCTTTAAATTGATTGACACGCCCAGTGATTGGTGATTTTCTAGTGCGCAACTGCACATGACAAATTGTAATAAAATTACTTTTAACACCACCTACTATGCGGCCTTTTTACCCTAAACTGATCATATTTTTTAAACTCTAAGTAAATTCAGTAAAAAAAAAAGGATTTCTCTAAGTAAATAAAAGTAAATTAGGTAATCAACCCTCACTGGTCTCGGTCTCGACTCGGACTCGACCGTCTCTGGTCTCGGACTCGACTCGGACTCGACTCTCTCTGGTCTCGGTCTCGACTCGGACTCGACTCTCTCTGGTCTCGGTGTCGACTCGGACTCGAGTGAGGTGGTCTCGACTACAACACTGCCAAGTACAATAACAGATCAAACTCTAGCATGGACAAGAGTAAAGGCCCCGATAAACAAAAAAAAAAGTTATTTTTCATTCTTCATTGAGGGGTAAAAACAAGTTCGCAAAACCCTTGTAGCGGTTTACTGCTAGCGAACACGCTGCTTTCCTTTCCGATCAGGGAATAGTGAGCAGGTTTACGGAGACCTCAGATTTCTGCATGATCTTTCTGTCCACATTTACGGGGAGCACAGGTGAAACGCTCAAAGTGTCTTTCACGAAAGGTGGGTGGCGTAAAATTACAAGCTGTTTACACCATTCATAAACGTTTGGAGGCAAATGAGCAGTTGAGAACTGAGGAGCCGTGCCAGAAGAAACGTGAGTCAATAACTATGCAAAAAGACGAAAGCACTCACACAGAGACATGGCCAATGATTGATCGGGACACAAACAAACAACTGATCAATGTATCTGCATTAGCCAACACAGTATCGAATTCACATCTACAAGGCTACCATCCACACCAAGGAGTAATGATGCCAGTACAAACGATAAAGCGAGTGGAGATCAGATGTTGGAGATCAGTGTGAGGGGATCACCAAAAAAACAATAGTCCAGGTCAATCGACTCCACTAAAACGGGATCTGAAAACAACACACACACGCAGGAGGAGTGTGAAGCCACACCGTTAGGCTAACACTGCATGATGTTACCTGTTGGACACGGCTAAATATGAGCACACAGTGAGAATCTGAGATATATTTCAATATCAGCATATTTGACTTTATTTTATGAGATACTAGTTGAACATGCTTTTTGGGGCTACAGTGAACGATGGCATGTGTTTTGCTGGTGAACTGACCGTACGTTGCATGCATGTGCTGTTTTGCTCCGAGCAGCAAACTGACCAGGGAGAGCGGCACCGACTTCCCCATTCCCATGGTGCCCGGTGTCGCGGACGAGACGGAGAAGCTCATCCGAGAGAAAGACGAGGAGGTACGGCATTCTCCCTGCCAAGATCAGCATGAGCATGAGCAAACACCACACCACGAGCACGAGCCGCTCTCGGAGCCGGAGCCGTGTGCGGAGCCTCTCTCAGAGCCCGACCCCGCCGCCGAGGGGTCCTGACAGGGCCGTGTAGTCCGTCACACTAACCCCTGACCCTCACACACCCCTCTAGACTGCCACTGGCGCCCCCTGCAGGTGTGCCTGCACTTCTCTGGCCTGATGCACTTTAGTCCGGCTGAGAAACGTGCAGCGTGTGTTTATCCAACCTCGAAATGAGGAAGATGATTATTATTAGCAAATTAGGCCTGTTGTTAGGAGTTTTTGTAAATAATTCACACTAACACAATGCAATAATGTGTAATATGGTACTAGATCATACCGTCCATTTAATTAAAAAAAGGCGAAATTAAACACAATAATATTATGAATTATAATACTACATTAGGTAACACTTTACTTGAAGGGGTGTGCATAAGACTGACATGACACCTTCATAACCATGATATGACATATGATATGAACATGAAGGAAGTTTTATTCATGTTTGTTACAACTCTCGCTCCATTATGACATTTTGAATGCAAATATGACATTGTTTGAGATGTCTTTGTTATGACAACTTGACATTACTAAGACAACACAACCTGTCATAAACATGATTTAGCAGATTAATGATCAAATTTAAGAAAGCACCTAGCTTTATTGGTTAACATTACATTAAACTGTTAGGTGGTTGGTTTTGTCATTGGCGTTCATGAAGCCATTATAACTTTTTAATGACAAATTCAATTAGTACCACTGTAGTTGAGGACACGAAAAATATTCATGACACAGTTATAATGCCTCATGACAGACAATGTCAAAGCCAACCACATGACAGTTATTTTATTAACACAGACTTAAGTTGTCATGACAAAGACACTGACAGGTTATGATGTATTGGTTTATGTCAAGGTGTCTATCTTAATGTCATATTTGCATTAAAATGTGAAAAGACACTTAATGAAACATGCATAAACCCTCTTTCATATTCAAGACATATGTCATGTCATGATTATAAAGGTGTCGTGTCAGTCTTATGCACACCCCTTCAACTAAAGTGTTACCCTATATTACTCTATAACCCACTTTGTAAGTGTGTGTTTAACTACTATTTGTTAACATTTAAATTAATCAATTGATACAGTTAATATTAATCGCATCCAAAATAAAAGTCTGTGTTTACATAATATATGTGGGAGCACTGTGTATCATTATTATACATATATAAATACACACACGTTTGTATATATTTAAGAACTATTTTCATGTATATACTGTATTATATACAAGCATGTGTGTGTATTTATATATATACAAAATAATTATACGCAGTGCACCCACATATATTATGTAAACACAGCCTTTTATTTTGAATGCGATTAATCGCGATTAATCGTTTGACAGCCCTAGTAAATACAGCTGTGATTAGTTTCTGTGAGCACGTCTATAATTACACTACCCAGAGAACCTAACCTGTCCTAAACCTACCCGTATTACACCACAACAGTGTCCTTGTTACACGTCGCATGTTAATAACAGTAAAATGAGCATGAGTACACGCAACTAACCCTAACCCAAACCCTATACAGTGTTAACACGAATGCTTTGTATCTTGTAAGAACATAGTAGACACCTCAAATAAAGTGGACAGCTACAGAAATGAGAATGATACCCTGCAGTTTTCGAAAATCTTACAGCGATATAAGCTTTTACAGTATTTTCCTGTAGCACGTTTTTAATGAGTACAGGCTAGTGCTTATTTCAGAAATCATGTATTTTTGTATCTTAGATGAATGTTTTCTTTCTTGGAGTAGATTGATGAAAAATGCAGTTTTCTGTTATGGATTTATTGCCCTGGAATCAGTCTTCTGTGATTAAAGTCTTGATGATCTGACATGGCGCATCTGTATTCATACACACCTTCCACAAGCGTTGCTGACGTCTGTTCTGATGAAGATCTCCAGTCTCTTTCTGAACTCTAACACATAAAGTTGCTCACGGAAGTTGTTCCACACAAAACAAAGCATTATGGGCATAAATGTCTTGATCTTGGGTAAGCATGGAGTAATTGACTCAGTCTGGACCATTGCGTTCAGCCACGACACAAACCTCCCCTTTGGGTGCGCAATCCATCATTTTTCAATAATTATTAGTCAGAAAATGACAACAGTCTAACACAATGGAAATGATTTCACATCTGATTTACATTTTAGTATCGATCAGTGGTATGGATTTGAGCTTATATGCTGTAGGTTACGTAACAACTCCAACAATGCCAACGTGTCAATATCCCAGAGGTCACGTACCAAAAGCACTGACACCAGCTCACGTGACTTCCCCTGGCCTGACATGATTGGTTAGGTTGGTGGTCGGCGTCACATGACTCGTCCAGCCTCAGGCTGATGGATTGGCCAGTATTGATGGATCGGTTGTGGTGATTGTGTGCTGTGTTCTTCTTCTGCAGTTGAGACGAATGCAGGAGATGCTGCAGAAGATCCAGGAGCAGATGCACACGCAGAAAGAGACGTATTAACAGCGGTTTCACCCGGCGGAGTCTTCACTTCTCACTAACACTTCTGGGTCTCATTTCCAAAATAAAAATAATAATAATAATAATAGATTCTTTGAGTTTGAGGTGAAATTTCACCCAGACCTGTTGGTATGAGTAAAGGTTCAAAAGGTTTCCATTGTGACTGACACTAAACTTGACTCAATGTAACCGTGTGCACTCGGGTTCATCTAATATGTGTCTCTACCCCAAGATTGTTTTATAGTTGCTTGATATCATATTTAATTTCTTTTTTTCTACAATGTGTAACTTTATTTTGTACAATGTTCATTAATTACATCGTTGTAATGTATGTCTTTTGGTTTTGTTTGTATTTCTATAAAAACAAAAACTGCAAAATGGCTTCTTTTAGAAAGTTTCTAAATGGAACAAACAAAAAAAAAACAAGTTTTATTTTCTTAT